ATATATATGTATATAAATTCTGTGTGTCTCCTGGGGGCGAAGCCCCCCTTGTCCTTAAAACCTAGCGACACCCCTGGTTCCTAAAATCCAAACACTGTAGGTTTTTGTGTGACGTCAGAGAATGTGTACACCTGTTCTTTGTCAGTTTTGGGCTCCCTCGTTATTTAGTTCCAGGTTTTCAGCTGTTTTCTTGGATGTGCCATGTATTGTTTTGTTCTCAGTTTATCCAGTAAAGGCGCAAACTAAGTTCAGTTTATTTATGTAGGAACAGAAATATCTCAGGGCTCTGTACAAACAGAAAAAAAAGTTCAAATCCTAAATTCAGTTCAGATCCAGATTCAAATCAACTTACAATGAATTCAGAATTTAATACAAACTTCCTACAGATTGCTGCTTTTATATTTTGTTAGCTTTTTGTTCCTTTTATAGAGTTTTGATACTTTTAGCCAATCTTAGCAATGCTTTATAATAGTATTTTTGTTTTCTTATCCTTCTGCTGCTGCTACTTTTGGCTTTTGATTTTTCTGCTTTTAGCTAATCTTAGATAACCTTTAGCTACATTTAGTGTTTCAAAATAATTTTGACTTGTGTATTTTGGCTTGTAGCTACTGTTTTGTTACTTCTATATATCGTTTTGCTGCTTTTAGCTGCTGTTTTGTTGCTTCTCATCAATGCTTTGCTATTTTTGGCGTTTAGCTTGCAATTTGCCAATTTTAGCTACTATTTTGTTGTTTTTAGTTGATCTTAGTTAACAATTTGCTGTATTTAGCTTTTTGATAGATTTTCTGGCTTGTATTTCTTAGCTTTTGATTTGTATTTACTGTTTTGCTGCTTCTATAATTTTTCTATAAGTTGTCTTTTTATTTGGACCTGGACATTTGATCTGGAAAAGACCAATGCTGTGAGCTCTAGGCTTGATTATTGTAATTGTTTATAAGTCAGAATTAACCAGTCTTCCTTCTCTTGCTGACAGCTTGTTAAAAAACTGAATTATTTTCCTTATGAGCTGCTGCCATCTCTGACTTAGTTCTGTTCAAAGCTAAAGACCTATTTATTTAAGGGCTTTTGTTGTTTATTAGAATTTTATACCTTTTTACTTTATTTTATCATAGCTGCGTTTTTAACTTGGACTGATATATTGTGATTTGTTTTTATTTGTTTGATTTTGTGGAGCACTTTGGTCGATGCAGGGCATTATTGGAAGGTGCTACGTAAATAAAGTTTATTATTATTATTATTATTTAGCTTTTTTATAGAATTGTTGGCTTCTAGCTACTGTTTTGCTACTTTTAGCTGCCATTTTGTTACTTCTCGTCAGTGCTTTGGCTCTTAGCTTGAAATTAGCCACATTTAGCTACTATTTTTCTGCTTTGAGCTTCTACAGCCCTTTAAGAAGAATCTTGTCTGCCATCTGCTGGACACTTTTTGTTATGTTCATATTTACACGTCCTATTTTGCAAATGCTGCCTTCCTGAAATTTGGTATGCTTGTTTGTCTTTGTGTCTATGGTGTATAATGATGTGATTGTGATGCTGTATTTCTGAGTGTTTTATGTGCTGCAGAACAGGAACCTGCTGTAAAACAGCAATTATGCTGAGTCAGGCTTGATTTTTAGTAATCTTTTCCTGTTAAATCAATAAATCAAATCAAATCAAGCTAAACTAATCTTTTGCTCCATTTAGTTATTACATATAATTTTAGCTACTTCTGGCTTTTAACCTGCCCTTTTTTAGCTCTAGTCTTTGTGTTTGATCCCTGTGTTTCCTGCATCATGATTTAATATTTTCTTTAACCCATGTTTTGTTTTGCTGCAGTTCTGACTCAGGAGGGGTAATAAAGGGGGGGGAGTCCTTAAACGTGACTCATCTCCAGTTTTTTTTTTTTCCCCCAGTTTTGCATTGTAACATCCGGGGGCAGGTCCACAGAGCGGGGGGAGTGTCTCCGGCTGTTCGGAGCAGGAGAAGGCAGGAGCACAGACTCCTTGGCGGAGCTCACACCGCACATCACAGCCCAGGATTATGCCAGCTTCCCCGGGACGCTTCGGGCAGCAGGGTCGTGGTGAACCCTCCACACACAGCTCCTTGTTTCCCCACATGCTCTGCTGAGACCCGGCTGCCATAGGCTGCTGCTGCTGCTCCTGGTCCATCCCTTCCTCCTCCTCCTCCTCCTGCCCCTCCTCCTCCTCTGGATCTCTCTCGTCCCATCGCCCAGGATGGAAAAGACTCTCTGCAGTTCGCATCCCAACAAAAGCAGCTCGTCCTCGTCCAGGAAGCCCGGCGGAGGAGGTCGGAGCGGCTCCCACAGCCCGGGCTCCGGCTCCCTGTGCGGCCCGGCTGGGGCTGGAGGCAGCCGGGGGACGGTGCAGGGCAGCGGCATGGATCTCCAGCTGCAGCAGCAGCAGCAGGGGCGCAGGAGGCAGCTGGAAGGAGTGCTGAGCAAATACACCAACCTGCTCCAAGGCTGGCAGAACAGGTAGGAGAGGAAGAGGAGGAGGTTTCACACGAGTTAACTCCAGGTTCTGGTGCCAGTTCTGTCCACGTTGCACTTTTTTTTAGCACCACGTCACGAGAGGAGGAGGAGGAGGAGGAGGAAGAGCGGGGTTTAAATGCTATTAGGTGTCATATTTAACTCACTTTAAAATTTCTAACTGTTAACCTGCAGAGATTTGTTTTCTACTTGAGTGAATGCAGTTTGAGTCTGTTAAAATATGGCTTAATTAAGATTTTTAAATGTTATGAACAAAAAGGCAAGGTAATAACATTTCTTTAAAAAAAAACTAGTCCCTCTTTGATTTAAAGGTGGACTGGATTTTAGAGCTGATTTTTAGAAGCAGCYGAAGGCAATAACTCACTTTGATCAAAATAAATTATTGTATAAGGAAAAATGTAATTTTTGGAGCTAAATTTACATTTTAAGTTATACACCTGTGGTTACGAGTTACATAAAAATAACATTTACCTGAGCGCTATTTGCCCTTTTTAAATTCTTAAAATGGTCTCTGCTGGAGATATTTTCAGTTTCATGGWCAGACGGGCATATTCAAATTTAAAGTTTCAAAATTATACAAAATAAAATTGATATTAACCAGTGTATAAGTGGGATGGCAGCAGGGGTGGCAAGATTTGTTTTTTCCGGTGGCAGCTCCCACTCAGTGCCCCCTCCCTTAGAACCACCCCTGTGTTTTATGGTAAATATCTATTTAAAAATCCTTATACAGACTTGTGAAAGTATAAAATAATTTTACTACTTTAAAAAACTAAACCGTGAGCTACTGTAAACTGGTCCCACTTGGTAATTGATTAGGTTTGCTCAGCTCTGGTCAATGGTAATAAATGAGTTTATCTCTACTTTTATTTACACCCCCCGCCCCCACTCCTACAGTAAAGTGCCAGCGTCACCTTTTTTTTTAACTCCTTATCACCTGTCGGCTCAATAAAACTCAGTGGACTTTAACACAGAACTCCAAAGCAGTTTTTTTCCCCCATTGTCTAGTTCCAACAACTGAAAACTTTTAAAGTGAAGCGTTAGTGACACTGAGTGGTGTGAGTGGTTAATATCTTACCTGTTTCAGAAGGATCTCTGAAAGTTTGAAGAAATATTTTCTGATCCATTCATTTTAAAAACAAAACAAACAAAAAAATAAAAAATAAAACTGATGTATTGTTCCTAACTTGCTGACACAATCATTTAAAGATAAAGCAGCTGAATCAACAACAGTTCTCTGAGGAGGGGGCGGGACTTAAAACTTGGACTGGAACTAGTTTAAAGAGTAACTTACCCCAAATATTAACTTTTTTTTT